CCGTTCTTAATAGAGAAGTTAAAAATATTATCATACCATGGAAATTTTGGTCATAGGTTTTTTGAAAATTCATGGATGGGTGTACTGTATATATCTGAGGCCTAAGAATGAGTTAAGCATTAACGATCCAAACAGCATGCCTAAGAACTTATGCTAATATATACCCATTTAGGGACGGACTGTACATGACTGTAAAACTCTTCTTATCACACCTGTTTAACAATAATATCACTATATAAACTTCATAAATTATTTTTTTCGCTGTCAAATGATTTCTTTTATATAGTGAAGTGAGTAACCCGTGAAACTTATGTTCTGTTTGATAAACCAAGTAAGCACTTAAACTTATTAATTAAGTACTTAATTGATTAGTACTGTTTGATAACACACTATCATAATAACTTAATTGCTTAAGAACTTAATTTATGAAGGACTTAAATTTTAAGTGTGTTTGATAACTCAAAGTAGGATATATTAATAAATTAAGTGGGTCTGAAATGCTAGTACAAATGTGAGCCTAAAAATAAGTGAGAGGCCTATCACTTATGTCTGAACTGAATTCTTGAGACGATTTTTTTCTATTTATTTATTTTAATGTTTATACTTTTGATATTTTATCTTGAAATATTTTTATTAATCATGATGTCTAGTTCTAAATTAAAATTTATGTAAATTATTTTTTATTTAATAAATATTTATTTTTATATAAAAATTTAAATCCATTAAATTCCATGATCAATATATCTTTACCATAAAATATGATTTTTTTTGACAATGATAAAATATGACATTATTATTAACTGAAAAAATAATGACATAATAAAATTTAAATATTTTTATTATATTATTTAATAATAATATTATTATTTTTGTTATCATAGTTTCATATACATCAATTATTTTTTTAGATAAAATTATAAGTCTAGATACTTTAAATTTCAGTGTTCAGACTTCAGATTTCAGACATTTTATTCAGTGTTTAGATTTTGGTTTTATCAAACACGACAAACTTAATCAATTCAGTACTTATGATTCAGTCTTCAGATTTCAGACTTCAGATCCAAATTAAGTTTTATCAAACGGACCCTTAGTGGTAATATATCTTACTATATTAGAAACAAAAACCACACTTAAGAGAAAGTACCATCATTTGCCATGTGATATTTCCACATCATATTTTTAAAATAAATTTTTATTACTACATCTCCAAAATTTAAAAGGCAAATGCAGTCTAAATTCACTTCCACCTCCTATTTTCGTCAAAACAAAAAAAAAAATCACGGGTTCATAAAAAACCCAAATCCTCATCCCCATTTCCACGACAATCGACTCTTTAATCAATCCCTTCTTCATAATTTTTTTTTTTAAAAAAACAAATTTCTCATTAATCATCAATTGAGAATATGTGGTGAAATATACTCCTTTCCTATTAGCATGTTCAATCTTTTCATTAGTGATGATCAACTACATCTTAATCGGATAAAATTTCAATTTCAAAAAATATTCTCTTTACCTCTCTATATAAATACAAAGGAAAAAAAAAATTCTCATTGATCTTGCTTCGGCCGTTGGGGTGGTGCCATTACAGGTATTAAAATTTAAATGATTTTATTTCCACAGATCATTGGTTTGGCTTTTACTATTTTTTGTTTTTCCCGTTCAAGAATAGTGTGATTACTATTATTTTTATGCGTCCATCCGTTACAGCTACCGTAGCCGTTGTCAGGTAGTATGATGTGATTTCTTATTTGGTTAGTTATCTTAGAATTTTTATATGATTTTAGTTATGTTTGGATTGAATTGATTGATTGGATTTTTGTTACAAAGTGTAGTTTTTTAAATTTATTTTTTATGTTTCATTCAATTAGAGTGGTTTTCTTTTTTTAATTATGGAGTCTCAGATTTTTTTTTCGTATATGGCCAATTATGAAGTTGTTTTTTCTTTGTTTAATTGTTTTTGATTTTGTTTCATACTCCCAGTTGACAAATTATTATTATTATTATTATATTATTATTATTATTATTATTATTATTTTATTTGCAAATGAAGTACGTTTCTTTTTTTGTGTTCGGGGTTTCAAGAATATACTTTTTTAGATTTGGTTTTTGGACTTTTTTTAGTTCCTCATCATATAAATAGTTCAGGTCGCTTCTTTTAACTAATTTATAGGGAATCCTTTTATGAATTTGAGGTGGAGAGGGAAGGAATGATGTTTCTACGTTTATTTGTGTTTTTATATATCATTTTTACCTACAGAAAAAATAAAAATTCTCAAATTTTAATGGGCTATCTTTTACTTTTTTTTTATTTGCCATAGTGAGGTGAGTTCTTTTTTGCTATATCTTGAAACCTACGCAAATTTACATTATTTTCATTCTCATATTTGTGATCAACCAGTTTTAACAATTAACCAGTTTGAAAATCATATTTTTGATATTTTACTACCTATAAACTTTTGAAAGAAATAGTTCCAACAATTAAGCGTATACCCTTTGGAGGAAGCTAACTACAAAGCTATTATAAATCTCCAAAACTAAGTATTGATTTGGCACAACCAATGGAGAATATCAATAAATTATCTTACTAATATTTAAACTTATTAGGATGCTTTTATATTTTGTCTAGCATTTACTTCAAGACATATATTTGATCAAGTTTATTTATATTTAAGAAGTAACACTTATAAAATATTTCTAAAATCTTCAAACATTTCTAAAACGTACCATTAGTTGTATACAGTTAAAAAATAATTATAAACTTCACAGTATAATCCATAAACAGTTATAATAGGTCATGAACTTAACTTTGGATGAGGTTCCAGTGCCATTCCAATTTTATCGTTTATTTGGTTGTGGCCAATTACGTACCTGCTTAATTAAGAATGCATGTCAAATTTTAAAAAGAAGGGGAAAAAATATCAACGAATAACATGGTTTAATCAATCTGGATATATTTGGCTAAATTTACAAAGCTCCGGAATGTTCTTCATTTTTAACAATAAGGATGATCAATCGATCTGAATAATTTAATCATTTTCATGTCCGACAATTGAAAAATTTAACCGAATAGATCTAGATCTAGATCGGTTGAATTGTAGTGAAGGCAACCGTTTTAAATTAAATAGGCAGTTGTCATATTTTAGTGGTTGTATCACTTTCATGTCAATCATTGTTGGTCGAATTTTAGTGAAGTTAAAATAAAATCTTTTATTTTATTTTTTTTAAAAAAACAGAAAGGCAATGATAGTGCCAATTATTTAAAGTATTCTTTTTTCTAGAATAGAATCAGTTAAGTGCATCGAAAAGAGAAATAAAAAGGATACCGATCAAAATCTTCACCGAAAAAACATAAATAAGAATGCGACGAGTCTTTCTTTTCTTATAACCATGATAATTCTCTCTTTTTAAGAAATAAATTATTCCATCTGTCAGAAAAAAAATTTATATTTTGTACGTAAATAGGAAATTTATCTTAACAACGGGAGGAGTCCGGATTTTCAAGCGGTTAGGAAAACAATGCCTTGTGATTTTCTTCAGCTCGCCAATGACGATATACTGGTAATGATAAAGCATTATTTAATAGGAACGAATAAAGCAAGTGAAATAATTTAATCTTTGTCCAAGCGTGCAAGAAACATTTTCTGGACCTCCAAACTTCCACCATAACCAAGTTGGGAAATAGTATAAATTAATTAATTTGTAGAGTATGTATAGAAAACACCTCGAAATTATGTGAACAATATAGGTGATGCTAATGTCAGGACAAAAATTAGCTTTCAGAGCAATTTATGTGTATTTTATCTAAATTACTCTTGGTTAATTGACTTAAGTTCTCTGCCTTATCTCGGTTCTTGGTGGATAAGTCTGCCATGAGAGTTTCTCCTTGCAGTCTAGCAGACCTAGTTTTGTTTCACGTTAGTTCTCTTTCTCACATCTAACCAAAACCATTTATCTTTTTTTTAATAATCATGGCTAGGAAAATACATCACATCAGAACGGAAGAAAAAGCTAAAAAAAGGGTACAGTTACGATTTTTTTCAATAGAATCTCATAGTCAGATTGCTTAAATTCTAAGAACCCTCTTTGGAAAACCAGTAACTTGATAAACGAGCCCAAGAATCGAATCGTTCGAAAACCGCAGGGGCAATATAGCTTAAGAAAGAGTCAGGTAACCAGAAATTGATCAGATCTATTGCTGTATGTCACCATGTCAATCAATCACGGATGCTCTTTGATTCAGTTGCTTAGTCCTCCACTATCTTTCTTAGTATCAACTCAATCATTTATGGAAATTGAATCCTGAATACTTACAAACAGAATCACCACTCAAAGTTGCACATTTTCTTCACTGGAGATCAAACTGAATGAATTGATTTGGAGCAACTCAAGATTTTTGTAGATATAAGGCACTATGAATTAAACCTTGGCCAATCTTGAATATTTTTGTAATTTGAGAAAAAAAGCCGCCTCCAATTCATGATTGAGAAGCGTCGGGGATGATTGACGGTGAAGTGTGGGTGGAAACTAGTGAAGGCTAGTTGAATTTTAATAAGTCAATTAACCAAAGAAAGGGTAATTTAGAGAAAATATATATAAATTGCTCTGAAAGTTAATGTTTGCCCTGTCAATATCATCACCTTAACAATATACACTAGTTGAGCTATACATTTAAATACTTTGAAAAAGCAAGCTATATATATATATACATATATATATATTAATTAAAATGGGGCCAATATATCATTTTTAATTTGGTTTGAAAATTCTTGATTCGACCCGCTCCTGATAGAAGTTTAAAATGGGGCCAATAACAACAGTTGAAATTCTTTCCAACATAAATAAGATTATTATTATTGGTGTACCTTAACTAGTTAGTTCGAAATGTCAACAATCACAATATAATCAAAGTCATCACAAGATCATCATCACTTCTAATCATTAATCAACAAGTCCTAGTTAATGAAATGGCTGCATTACAAAGCAAAAACTCATCATTAACCATGAAAAAGATGTTCATTCTTCTTGTAGTTTTGATGAATACCATAAATCCTGCATATTCACAAACCAAACACATATTCTTGCTGGCTGGTCAAAGCAACATGTCTGGACAAGGTGGAGTTGTGAAGAACAAATGGGATCGGCTCGTGCCCCCCGAATCCAGCCCGAACCCGAACATCCTCAAACTCAATGCAAAGCTGAAATGGGAAGTGGCAAAAGAGCCTCTCCATGCAGGTATTGATAAGAATGTGACGAATGGAATAGGGCCCGGAATTCCCTTTGCAAATTCATTGCTGAAGAGAATTCCGGATTACGGGACCATTGGTTTGGTGCCTTGTGCTATATCCGGGGCCAAAATCATTCAATGGCAAAAAGGAACCATTTTTTATGATCAGTTGGTGAATAGGGCTAAAGCTGCTGTACAAAATGGTGGTGGGAATAATACTATTGAAGCCTTACTTTGGTATCAAGGCGAAAGTGATACTATGAGCCAAACAGATGCAAATCTATATAAAGGAAGATTGCAGCAGTTTATCATTGATCTAAGAAAGGACTTGAATTTGCCGGACCTTTTGGTTATTGAGGTATTTTTACTACAACAATTTCGAGGTATTTTTACTACAACAATTTCGTTATTTCGCAGTTGAATTGCATGTATTGATAGGATGAGTATTGGAAATTTTTCATACGACCGATCAACTTTATAACTGAGTAAATTCACATAAACACAAGACGGTATAGCGTTTTGCATCTAGCTTGTCATTGGAGTAATGATATGTTGTGCGGGTCTTGAGTTCCATTCGTTTTTTTTTTTTTTTTGGGTGAAATGTAACACTTTTTGTAATAATATTGTTAGAGGTTATAAATCTTTCTAAGGATATTAAAGAGTAGTTACCAAAAAAATTGGTTGGTGGAAGCTAACTAATTCTCCTTCTACATGTACATATCACATATGCAAATTTAGAACTATCGTATTTAATTAAAATCATGATTATTACGTTGATAAACACGCTGATTAACAAATGCGTGCAGCAAAAAGGATCATAACTTGTTAAGCAAGGCTTGAAATTGGATTTGATATAGGTTCAAGGATCGAATCTTATCAAATTAGATTTTCATAAATGGACCTCCTACTAAAATGAGTCTTTTTGTGTTTCTTTTGTTACCCATCAAATCATAGAAAACTAATTAATTTTCTAGTATGGTTGATGATGGAATAACTACTATGTAGGTTGCGCTTGCTTCAGGAGGAAAACACTATCTGGAAATAATAAGGCAAGCACAGCTACAAACTGACCTTCCTAATGTGAAATGTGTTGACGCCATGGGATTACCACTTCAACGTGATAATTTGCATCTTACTACTTCTGCCCAAGTCCGCCTTGGTAGTATGTTGTGTGATGCTTTTATTCAATAACCCCAATATCAACCAACTTATACACTCAAACACATGGATGTATATATACATCCTCTAAATACATCATGATTAATTTCTCGATTGTACATGTCCTTCTTGTATCTTCATTACAATAGTTTTTTTTTTTTTTCCTGTCTTTTACCATCAAACGGATCATTGAAATTTGAAAGTAGGTTAAACAATGTCATATATATATATATATATATATATATATATATCTAAACTTTGTAGCAGATTAACAGCATTATCACCATGGCCAAACGTTCAATATATATAGTTTTGAAAAATATATCACAAGTAACCTCCAAAACTTGTCAACATACAGAAATTCCACCATAACCAAGTTGAGACATATTTATTCGTAGAGAATAATGAACATCCAGGAATTTTCGTCGATAATATGCAAGAGTTAGTTGAAGTGATTATTTAAATTAATGAATTGAAATGGGGCCAATAGAAACTTGATTCCATCCATTCATGGTCTCTACGAGCTAGTTTAAGCGTCCTCCAGATAGAAAAAGGAAACAAACGAACAAAATAAAATAAAAATGTTCCACTTAAAGTCAATAGTGTTTAAAATTAGAATGAATGTACCTCTAAGAACAAACCGATATTGTTTATACCCAATACATATATATATATAGTATGTTCATGGGGTTAATTTATTTTTTTTTATAGAGGACGAACAAGATTGAAATAACAAATTTGGCTAACTGGACTATATAAAAACTTTTAGCATATATCATTGTTTTGTTGGTTGTGTCTAGTTCGAAATGTCAACAATCACTAGACATTCATATTCTGTTATAAAAAAAGATAATCAGTTCTAAGTTCTAACAAGTCATATATAGTCAATGCAATGGCTGCATTAATAATAACCACAAACTCATCATTGGTCATGAAACATTTCTTCATACTTCTTCTAGTTTTGACCAGTACCATTGATCCTGCATATTCACAAACGAGAGAAAGCATATATTCTTGCTGGCGGGTCAAAGCAACATGTCTGGCCAAGGTGGTTTTGTGAAGAACAAATGGAATCACGTCGTGACGCCCGGAGTGCAACTCGGATCCGAAAATCCCCGAACTCAATGCAAAGATGAAACGGGAGGTGGCGAAAGAAAGAGCCATTCCATGCAGGTATAGATGGAATCGGGCCCGGAATTCCCTTCGCAAATTCACTGCTGAAGAAAATTCCGGATTACGGTACCATTGGTTTGGTGCCTTGCGCTATATCCGGGGCCAAAATCATTCAATGGCAAAAAAGGAACCAATTTTCTATGATCAGCTGGTGAGTAGAGCAAAAGCTGCGCTGTACAAAATGGTGTTAGGAATAATACAATTGAAGCCCTTCTTTGGTATCAAGGCGAGAGTGATACTATGAGTCAAGCAGACGCAAATGCGTACAAAGACAGATTTCAACAATTTGTTATGGATTTGCGAGCAGATTTGAACTTGCCTGACCTTTTTATTGGTTACTGAGGTACTTTAAGCTTAGCTATTTGGTGCATCTAATTAAGTTCTCTGAATTACAGAGAATTTTTTTTTTTTTTTTTGTTTTTGAAGAAATGATGATGATACCATACACATTTGGATTGTAAGGAAAACATATGGTATTTCTTGATTAAGTACAAACATGAATCATTTTGTTATGAAAATATATAAAACTGACGAATTTAACTTAATTGGTTACAGGTTGCACTTGCATCAGGGGGAATACGGTATTTGCAAATGGTAAGGGAAGCACAACTCCAGACTGAGCTTTCAGATGTAAAATGTGTAGACGCCATGGGACTAATCTGCATCTTTCTACTTCTGCCCAAATCCGCCTTGTATTATGTTGTGTGATGCTTTTACTAATTAATTAGTCATTTCAGCCAACTTATATGCAATCGCATTATTAATTTCTCCATTTGAAAATGTCATCCTTGCACTAGATCATCTCAATCTTCTTTGTATATTTCCGAAATGCACTATCCGCAATTTGCATATATGAAAATCATATTGTCACGACCGCGACCTATAAAAATTTAACATCCTAAACCCGAAGGATACGATCGTATGAGATCAATCCTTGTGAATTTTTGTGCTCATTATTTGGTCTGCTGTTTTGATAATGTGGTAAGTGGGCAAATCACTTCTGATCAATGAACAGCACATTACATTTAATCAGTACAAAAAGACCTTCAAAATCATGATGAAACAATAATTTGGTTTCCATTCAATGCAATCATCTCCACTGTTTCACAAAATTTCAATGTAAACAACTGCTAGCTCAAATCATTTTGGGCCTGATCCGGAAATGAACACGGCAACATGAGTGGACTTAGTGGCGTTTACGCATAGGCAAGAGTTCCTGTGCGGTGGACTTGCCCAAATTCCTAACATTCCCAGTAAATGGGGAAGCAAGGCTGCAAAGTGTTTGGGCTTAGATAAAGACCCAGAGAAATAAACTTTTATAATTGAGACATAATCAGAATGTCGTTGAGCTCTAACAAAATTCAGCTTCTCGTGCCTAGTTGGTAACGATTATTTTGTTAACGTCTATGTCCATTATTAGGGATACGTTAGATGTTTATAATTAAGGATCATCCCATGGGTGTTTCGGTCAAATAAATTTCTAAAAAAAGATGTGGACAAATTAATTTTTTTTTCTATTTTAGGTGGACAAATAGTTGTCACGGTTTTGCCAAATCCGAATTTATTCATTTTGTATTAGATTCGGAATCCGAATCTACCCCATAAAAAAGATATATCAAGTAGTTATATTATAAGGAAATTTGGCAAATCCGAGACAACTAGATTTGTCCAGATACTCCCATTAAAAATTATTTCGGTAAAAAATTCATCATAGGTCTCCCATGGGGATGTTTTACAATTACAAGGCTAATGGCTTCCTTGAGATATAAAAAGAAAAAAAAAAAACTTTCCTTTCCTTTTTTTTTTGGGATACAAGAATTATAAGGTAAAGCAGGTAGGTGTTAGGAGGTAAAGCCTCTCTCAAAAAACAGAAAAAGAGTGTTTTATGAAGATGTTAGATACATTAAATAAGATTCTTATTTTGAGACTGTCACTCGTGAGTATATCAAATTGGAGCCAAGCTGAGGATGTTGACTGGGGAATATTAGACGATGCAGCCTTGCAGGGACCCATACATCACTTTCCTTGTCCAAAAGACTCCAGTTATGGAAATTTCCATGGATCGCTAACTACAAACTAGTAAACAAATTGGGTAATATTTTATTAGTTAATTGATTAACTCTACATTTCTTCTTGCTGTTCTTCGGCCGTATAAATATTTGGCCATCAAATGGCATAGTTTCACTCCAGCCCAACATTTAATTGCATCATTTCAGAAAACAGGAAAAAAAAAAAATTGATCCAAAATGGTAAAGCAGCTGGCTTCCTTAGTGTTCCTTCTGCTTGTTGCAGCACTTGGTAATTAGTTTCTCCTCCTCTTCTTCTTCTTCTTTTTTAGAGTCTGATTATACTAACAATATAAGTAATCCTTAATGTAACGCATATTCATTTAAGTTTGCATTTTCTACATTTGCAACAGTATCTCTAGTAGTGATGAAGACCACAAGTGCGACCGATAATCCACGAAAGCTGATGAATCGTGAAGGCCATCTTGATGATGATCAATATTCCATAATAACAACAACAACAGGGAATTCCTTCAAAAACGCAACAGCTGATTCCCAAACATATTTTGGGACTTCACTAGATGAATTGGAATGTGGGGGTACTAGGGGTACAGGGCTAACCGGTAGCCGGTGTATGAATGGGAATTGTGAATGCAGTTCTACATGTTATTGCCTGCTTTATCTAATTTGCATATGTCCCCTTTTATGATAGTTAGTTTGGACTAGATGATCGTCACTTGTCTTTTTTTAGTGGTCGACTTAGATTGTATGTTAGCTACAATTTAGTGCGCCCTTGTTGAGACTCTCTTTCTCTAATGTCATAAGGAAGAATAAGTTTGGAAACCATTTTATTAAAAAAATCTATCATGCCAAGAGGCGCGCAGCTTCCTCTGTTGACAAAGATCTAGCAAGAAGTCTGGATTTCAAGGTTACAATTTCGACAATTCATCACTGTGGCATTTTCAAATTTGAATGTTTACGGAACCACACAAAAAAAAAAAAAAAACCAAAATCAAAATGTTTGTGACAAATTAGTTTAACTAGTAAGGCAAATATATGTCTAGTTTTCTGTACTATTTCAGTTTAATAATATAGATGACTAAAATGTGACAAAAAAAAATTTAAGAAAAACAATGATAATTTCGGAGAGCATAACATATAATCAATATCAGGATATCTCGAAACAATGTCTACCATATATAAAATTATTAAAGATGTACAATACTAAAATGTGAAGGCCTAATTAAGCAAGGAAAAGGGAGATATGAATATGATAGTTTTTTCTAAAAGTAATGATAAGTATATGGAAATAGGATCTAGAATTCTAGACATGATTTGTTAATGAAGGAAAATATTGAGGAGGATTTCGATTTCAATTTTGAGACAAATAACATGAATATGTGATCGAGGGAAAGCAATTGTAACTTGTAAAGGAGAAGTGCCTTGACCCGCGAAAATGTGGGAAGGTTAGGATTCGGACAAAGAATAGTGGGGACAACGTTGTGGGTTGGGGGGTTGGTTTGGGGCGGGGCGTCTCTGTCTTTTTTGGTCCTTGTTGCATCATGCAGTTCATGCCACCTACCATATCTAACAACTTCAATATTCTTTTGTTTCACACGGAGTACTAAGTTAAATTTTTGGCTCTACAAATATTGCCCAAATCTATAGACGCCATACTTCACTCCAAATCCAACAACATATCTCCCAAAAGAGAAATTCGAAAAACTGAAGAAATCTCTGTTCAATGGCGAAACAGCTGGCTGTCTGTGTGCTCCTTCTGCTCGTCGCAGCTCATGGTAATCAACTGCCTTTTTCTTTTGCTTTTTTTTTTTTTTTAAATTATAACTTTTGAATTGTATTTTTTCATGGATTTTTGTTTGAAGCA